CAATTCAACTGTAAATTGATGAGACATTGTTACTAATCTAATACTGTGCCTAATTTCATAAAGTCTAAGTACCATAGCAAAAACCTCATTCAAACAATTATTATGAAAGTATTTATAGAAAAGGGACAGAGAAGCATATAACAACAAAAAAATGTTATTTTCTTCTAGAAAAATAAAACATTATTTCCCAGTAAGAAAAATTAATAATTTTTAGAAAGAAAAAAATTTTTAATAAATTTTTCTGTGGTCTGAAAGCATATAAAAAGGATACTGCAAATATTGTTGTTGTTCGTTATTTGTCAAAAGAAAATCTCTAAACATCATAACTGCAACCCTGTATAACCCAACAAGATTTTTTAATGTATTACCTAATCCGACCTTTTTAAAATTGTGTTTTTTTAAGAGAAACTCATTATGTTTTTAATACTTTAAAAATATATTATTGCCTTTTTATCCTTACTCAGATATACTTTTCATGTTGCAAGAAATCAACATTAAAGAAATAGAAAAAATAAAAATTTCCAAAGTTTTGTTAGCACTTTGAGTCTATTGAAAATGAATAAAAAAAAAAAATAGAATACTTGTCACAAATAAATGCACTATTTTCGATTTTTTTTTTTTTTTTTTTTTCTCTATCAGTTTTCATTCATACAGAAAATTCTCTCATTTAATTCTATGGTAGGCAATAACAGTTAAATTACAATGCCAACATTAATTAAAGCTGGTAATCTTAATGTTTTTTTCATTCACTACCTACAACTAAACTTCAAAGGAGAAATTCTAGATTCTGTCATCCTTAAAATCTGTGTTTAAAAAGAAACATATTAAGTTAAAAGCAACTATCAATATCAACTTCCTCTACCAACATTACTTACAGTTTCATTTATTGTTTTTCCTGTTTTAAAGGATTAAGTTAAATATAAAAAAGTTTCCATTATATAATAAAATTGATAATCTTAAAAGTATAAAACTTATCTAATTGTATTCAAATTGTGATAAAAAAAGATCCATGCAAAATTTTCCTCTCAACATACTCATTAATTTTCAATATTCTTGTCATTCTCTCAGAAAAAAATGGAAAGTATGAATATTTTTAATTTTTCACTGCCAATAATTATGTGTTAAAAAAAATGACTTTAATTAAATCAAAGCCAGAATTTTTCTTTTATGATGGAATACAGAATTTACTTGAAAGGCAGTTTAATGTCATAGAAAACAAATAAAGCTGGTTTAATTATTGAATAATGATGTCATGAATTTTTTTTAAATTGTCAAAAAATTCTAGAATTTTTTGCAGCAACCTAATAAACCAAAAAAAAACTGTTATAGTTAATTTATGTGGTTTCAGTAATTTTGACATGCTTTCTTCCTTTCTTCAGAGCCAAGTTTGATCTTGAAAAAGTATAAATCCATCTCTTCTCCCCCCAGCTATGTATTACTAGAACTCTATCTGGAAAAATCATTGTTATTCTCAAAAAATTCTTAATGCAATATTCAATCACAAAAAAAAAAAAAACTTCTTACAATCAAAATGTTTCAGCTTTAAATAATCCATAACAATAGGAAGTTAAAAAAATCATCCTGTCTTCACTTTAGCTACTGAAACAAAACAAAAGCTAAGAATCGATCTCTCCTTCCACAACTATGGATTAAATAGTAGGACTCAAACAGCAACATTATTTTCAAAACATTCTTAATGTAATATTCACTTACAAAAAATAAAAGAATTACTCTTGCAATTTAATATAGGTTGATAAACTGTAAAAAACAACTGAATCAATCAAGCTGACTTCATTTCAACTATTGAAACAAAACAACTGGCGGAAACAAAGAAAATCCTTTTCAATTTGTTGAACTCTATTCTTTTCTTTTTTCTTCTTTCCTTCCTGTTTTCACTTCAACTGCCCTTAACATCCATCTTAATAATACACTTCTCTATTTTTATCATGACTATTACTGATAATTCCTTTGTTCACACCACCAAAGTCTTTTTTTGAGTGTGTCAAGAGCCCCAACCAGTACACACTTTTCTTTACATGGCATGTATATTGTTAATCTGCTTTTAAGTTGATTTAAACTAGCATCTTGATCTTTGTTGTTTTGATCCCAACATTTCAGCTAGTAGACTCTCCTGACATTTCTTAAGTTTAAACATCACTTTTTTGCCTCTCTAAATTTTTACTTCATTATGAATTAAGTGACAGAGACTTTTCTGGAATAAGAAATTTTTATGTGCCAGGTAAATTTTTATTGACTGACTCAAAATTAGATTAGAAGAAAGAAAAATCTGAAAATTAACAGATGTGACATACTAATTGATTCTGAAAAACTCTTGACGAAGCCAAGAAAGGGTTCCAGAATAAATTCTGGTGTTTGTTCTTTGATCAGACTTTGAGGAATGGGTTTGACTAAAATATTTTCAGCCCACTGATTGAAACATTTCATATCAACAAAGGTGGGATACTAATTTAAATAATTAAATAAAAATTATTATTTCAATAATACAGAAAAATACACAAGTAATTTTATCTTTGAGATTTATTTATTCAAATAGCAATGGAAAGTGAAATTCAAGTAAGTTTAGAAATTTTGATAAACCATATAAGTATTCTTTAGGTACACATTTATTTTAATATAAACAACGTGTGTGTTAGGATATTATTCTATTTATTAAAGACATTTTTATGTTTAACGTTCTTTTTTTTTATAGATACAAGTATTTAAGTAAATGCTCTGTTTATAATAAACAGTATTAAATAACATTTACCGGCTTGAATGTCCGAGAAATTATCATAGAAAATATTCGTCCTTTGACAGGATTCGAACCTGCATCCTATACGGAACCATCATTTACACTGACGTGCCTTAACCGACTCAGCCACAAAGGAGCGTTCGGTAGGCAAGGTCGAATTTACTGCTTATAAACTTCAATCTTCCATGAATCTCGTACATTCATAACTGCTCTGGCATATCAAATGTAACAAATGACGTCATATATTAAGAAATGGACCAAAAGTCCGACAATTTATTTATTAAAGACATTTTTTTATGTTTAACGTTCTTTTTTTATAGATACAAGTATTTAATAAATGCTCTGTTTATAATAAACAGTATTAAATAACATTTCGGCCTGAATGTCCGAGAAATTTTCATAGAAAATATTCATCCTTTGAAAAAAATCGGACATTCAGGCTGGGATACTGTTTATTTAAACAGAACATTTACTTAAATACTTGTATCTAAAAAAAAAAAGAACGTTAAACATAAAAATGTCTTTAATAAATAAATTGTCGGACTTTGTCCATTTCTTAATATATATTATTCTATGTTCTACTAACAAAAGTTGAGATAATGAAACCAAATAGAAAAGCTTTTTACAGATATGTGTTTGTTTCAAACCAGGACTGGTGTGTCTTACCCCTGAAATTCCCAACCAGGGGTGGGGATGCATTTTTGGGGGCTCTGTTGTGACCTCTGCCTCTTTTAAGCACTGTTTTATGACCATCCACCATATTTTTTATTATTTTTAAACTGATGTTACATTGTTAGCCATCAACTAATAATATACATCATGTATCTGTATGGCTGGTATTGTGCGCACTACACAGGAACCCTTGACGAGGGTAGATCTCCAAAAGGGCTAGTTTCAGCAGCATTTTTTGCTTTTTGTACTTTTTACTTTTTTTCAACCTAAGTTATATTGTCAATCAACAAGTATAATAATCAACAGGGCTGGTGCTTACTACCCTGAATCTCTCAACCATATGGGGGCTCCATGCATACGGGGGTTTGGTATTGAGTGCTAATTTCAGTAGCACTTATTTTTTGGATTGTAATTTTCTTTTTGAACAGTTCTTTTATATAAATTAAAAGGGTAATATATCTCAGTAGAATCATTTTTAATTCTGAGGTCATCCACTAAGGTGGATTTCTTTTTTTTTTTTTTTTTTTTTTTTACTAGTAGTAATACTAATCAGAAATCCATGACTAGTAATTAAAATAAAATTTCTAGTACCTATTTTTTTACATTTCTAGAAAGATAAAAATGAGAAAATGATCGTTTAAAAAATAAAAGTATTTAAAGATTTCAACACTTGAAAAATATTTCACAAAAACTGAAATACGTTTTTTTAAGACAACCCTGTTTGTGTGTGTTGTGTTGGAATCTTTGTAAAACTTCTTTTTTCTTTTTTTTTTTGTCAGCAGAGATGCATCAGCAATTAATCTTTATGGAAAAGTTTGCAATGTAAACATTTTTTCGGCTAAAATTTAGTTTTGAAAATATTGGTGATTATTACAAAAAGAATAACAATTTCTCAGATTTTTTAAAATAAAAAACCTGTTCATTATAAAAGTAAATAATTAATGAATATGTACTCCAATTTTCATTTAAATTGGATAATTTCCTGATTTTTTTGTAATTTAGAAAAATGCTGACCCCTACCCAATTTTCCTTCGAGGGTTTCTGGCTCCCAGGTTAGGAAACTTTGAAATTGACATGTAGTAGATAATGTTTTTTTTGTGGGGAGCAAGACCCTAGTGTTGGCCCTGTTCTAATCATACAGGAATGAATGCAAAAACATCCCCACCCCAAATTTATGGACAAATCATACTGATGCATGCTGGGATTTCTTCTTAACTAATAAAATGAATCACTTCTTGGTCTCATCTGCTATATTTTTTTTTCTTTTCTTGCCTTAGTTAGAACCTTACAATCATTTGACTATATCTCTTTTGTGTGTTAAAACTATACTTACTTTGTGATATTTTAGCCTTATTACTGTTGCTTTGCCTGATATTGTTTACTTCATATTATTTTTGCCCTGTTCTTTTCTTTCTTATTTACTGGAAACTTTGCCAATTCCATTGTTGAGCATTATTGCCACTTACACTTAAGCATAGCCAATTAATCTACATGTTTGATCTATGTATGCTAAATAGGTATCTTCAGATCAAAATGAAAGGAAACAGATTTTGGAGGAAAGGAGGGGTTCCAGTTATATTGAAACACTTGTTCTCATATGATCACCGAAGTTAAACAATATTAAACCTGATCAGTACTTAGATGGGTGACCTCTTGGGAATATCAGGTGCTATAAGCTTGGCTGTGTAAGTGGGGTAATGGATAATGGCTCAGAATTGAAAATTGGAGAGCCAAGTTCCAATTCTAGTTGTGTTCATTATATTCACTTATGTACAAATACCCTTGGGAAAGGTATGAATCCACCTCTTCTCCCTCCAGCTATGGATTAATTAATAGAACTTGTATTGGTAAAGATCACTATCTCCAAAAACACTCTTACAATCTAAAAATATTTTATGACTTTGAATAACCTGCAAAAGGTTGATAAGATGTAAAAAAAAAAAAAAAAAGTCTATCAAATTCCCACTCAGTTTTCTTATACGCACACACTTTTGTCTCTCATTTCAACTTGAATACACCTACCTAGCACATATAAAAAAAACATTTTTCTGTAAAAAAGCTTTTCCACCTCTCATTATCTCCACATATACAGAAACAAGCATACTAAATATATTTTATAAATAAAATGATCCATAACATTGTCAAGTGAAAACTTCAAATACTCAATATAGCCACTACTCACTAAACTGTTTAATAAACCGTAGATGGATAGTGGTTTGGGTTAGGAATCAGAGAGCTGAGTTCAAAATCTAGTTGAATCCACTACATTCACTTACATGCTAAAACCTTTGGGAAAGGTATGAATCCTCTTCTTCTACCCCCCCCCCGCCAAGCTATGGGTAAATAGCAGGACAGACTGGGTTCTATAGCCTTGAATGGCAACTAGTCTACCACAGAAAGAAATGGCAATCTACTGCATGGAAAAAATCTGCCTTGTCAGTCATGTATCGAAAGACACATGATCACCTAAGTGTGTATCACGCATGGCACATAACTGACTGAGTCTTACAACCAGTTATAAAATTTCATAAAATTAAAAAATCCTACCAGGCAGTATTGTATGCAAACTTTGATCTTGATTTTTTTTTCTTTCTTCAAACTAAATCAAAATAAATGATTAAAATGAAAAATCAATCAAAATTTACTTGTACAGTATTTACAGCATGCAAACCAAAGTAATGTAGAGAATATAGAACTGATTTTTAATTTGTTTATTACATTTATTGCTTAGTACACTACTATACTTTAGAAATAAATTAGAAATGTTACAAATGGTACAAAAGTGACATTAAAGCTATCTAAAGGTGGTTGACACAAATCCATGACACATTTCGTATGCCTGAAATAGCAGTCAAGTACAACTTCTCACTTAGTAACCAGCTTGGAACTTGGTCATTAAGTCAAGAGTAGCTGAACTTGAAAATAATGGAATTGACATAGCACAAAAAACTCTTTAATAATAACTTATGAAAACTGAAAGTAGTTGGACATTGGACAATTTATATTTAAATATGTGCTGGAAACCAGGAAAACGTGCTGAAATATAGAAAAAATATATAAATCCTTAACAAAAGATTTTTCATTGGTCTTTAACCAAACTTTTTGTGTGTGTGTGTGTGATATATTATAATAATATTCTTAATGCAATAATATCAAAATTGCTTGAAAATTTCTTGTATCTCTGAATAGCAGAGTTTAATATTATTGCATTAATAATATTATATTTCAGCTTTTCCAATTTTTTAGCATTGAGCCCACAGTTTATTTTATATTCTGATGATAATGGTAATAATAGCCGTTTCCCTAGAAGAAAACATTTGGCAAACTTTGACCGAGCAGCTTGTATTACTTTCGGTTGAAATTTATAAAGTCTTTCTCTTAAAACAATTTTTAAGTAAAGTAGCTGTTATCACTCTTCCCAGATATGCATTCCTAACCTTTTATTTGAAATAGTGTAGAATGTCAACACCTTGATTATATCATCATTTTCTCTTCAAGTTATATGTGCTATCCATTTTAGTTGTTGCTGCTCTTGATAGTCCTCAAGTGATTTGTTTTCTGTTATTTGGTACCATTCTTTGATTGTGATTCTGTATCACCAGTTCACAATGTCCAAAGAAGGATGATCTATGCCAAAACCTTCATTCAAAGCCATTTTTTAATCCTTGATCTTAAAAAATGGTTGTAGCCTATTTTAGGTTTAGCTTATATTTTTATTATTTGTGTGTGTGTCTGTCTGTTTACTAATGTTCACTCAATACAAAGTGCCACTCAAGATAGAGAATTACTGTGTAGTGTTGTAAACATAAGAAAGAACAAGAAGTGAAGTTTTGGGGACTATGCAGGAAAGATAAGCACTAACTTTAGACTTAAAATAGTTGAGATTTAATTAGTATATAATGTTTGAGTGTTCAATCATATTGTGGCAAGGTTTTGTGGCATGAGTAAGACTTGATATCTACTTGATCAATGAAAACAAACAACATAGAACTAAAAAAAAAAATGAAGCATCCCCACACTGCCCCACTCTCCCAAATTTCTGATGAAGCTGAACCAATAGCAAAATATGTCAAATGTTTTCTAACTTGTTTCTTATTTAACCATTTTGTCAGATTCAATTTATACTTATATATGTATATTTATTATTAATATATAATTTATAGCTCTGTTATTTTACATTGAGCACTATTTTATTAACACCAGCAATCAATGTGCAATATTTTACACACATATACACACACACACACACTGATTTTCTTTCATGAATATCAATTAAGATGATACTAGTTTATTAACCAGTTAACATGGAATTATGGAAAATTTTTTTATTGCATTTATGGTTTGGATTTATACATGTGTACATATATCTCTGCCAAAATTAAGAAAAATGTACATAATAAATAAGGAATGTATACTTAACTTTGATCTTTTTCGGTGGTTGAGGAAAACTAAATCTAGGATTATTATTATTATTATTGCCTTTTAGTCATTTGATACAACCTGTATAAATAACTACTTAGCTAAAAGAGCTTATTTAAAATAATTTTTTAAGTCATTTTGATTGTCACCTGGAAACTATCAGATGATAACGTGCAGTGTGATTTGATTGAAGAGTTGGGGATTGACTTGGCCCATTATTTCATGCAGTCATGCAGATTAATTCAGCCTTCCAAGCAGATTAAGTGTTTTTATTTCCAGATTGTTGATGACAAATGTTTCTGGTTATTTTAATATATTCCTGATTTGAAATACAGATTTGTGTGTATGTGTGTTGTGTATGTATGAATTTTGGATAACCAATTTATATTTTTTAGTTGTCCTTTACTAAAGAGTGAAATTATTTTGTTTGTTTGTTTTATTTTTATTTGTTTGTCTTCCATTTTCTTTTCTTTTTTTTTTTTTTTTTTTTTTTCGCTATTGACGAACAAGCAGAAAAACGGCATTCCAAACTGCTAAAATAAAAAACAAGATGGACCATGTTAGGTTTTTTGTGTCAAGGTGGTATCGGCAGCCATCTTGCCATGAATTTCTTTAAGAAAATGTCTCCCACAAGAGCACCTTATAAAAGAAGTAACTTGTTCACTTTATAAAAATCCCTTCTGTTTACTTTTTTTTCTCATTTACATATTTAATCAAATGATACAGACTATTAAAAAAAGAACTTTTCAGATTCACCATTTGTTTCATTTTTATTAAATCATTTAGCAGAAAAATGTGTTTTCTATTAAGCAAGTAATTGTATGAAAAATTTAGAGTTAAGTTTTAAATTGAACATAAATTTCATGTACATTTTAAATTTTCTAAAAATTTAACCTGAGCCACCTTTGGCGACATATATGAAGAAGAGCTGAACAACTCTCTGTGCAATGCCCCTCCCAAAATTTGAACAAATATCAGATTACTTTTAGAAGGGTTTCTTTGTCAGGCTGAGAACTTTTTAGTATTCCCTCATATTTATCTACTTACAAGATGACTTTTATTGCATTATTTGTTGGGTAATTTTATTTTGTCAAATCAACTTTTAACACAGTTAAAATATCAATATATATTGATTTATTTCTCCTTGTTAATTTTTTCTTATTTGTTACCATGACTATTAAAATGTAACTATTAAGAAAGATTGAGTAACATGAACAATTAAACTATATATATATATATATATATATATATATATGTCATTCAAAATTAACTTTGATTAGGCCATGGTTAATAGAGAAAAATCTGAAACTCTATAAAATCTTCCAAAACTAAAATAGTGATCATAGAAATATATGATTCAATAAAAATCAGTTAATTTAATGATTACTTGAAAAAATATTATGTAACTTCTAACTTAAAATATAGCATAAAAATACATTTGTTTACAGCTGGTATCTGGTAACCTGTTCAAAAGTCAAGTGAGTATTGAGTCTGCTTTCCTTTATCATATATAATAAAAGTTCAACTATTTAAATTTATCTCACAAGATAGTTGGAATATGGATGAGCAAAATTAACAAAATATAAAATAACAAAAGTATGTTCCCAACATTAAACACCATTATAGGATGGATAACATTCTAATATTAAGTATGTTTTATTGCATTGCAAGAAAATAAATTGTTTTTTGGTTTTTTTTTTTTAAATATATATAATATATGTATTTAAAATAATGTATTTGAATTATATAGGTGAGGATCCATTTTTTTTTTTTTTTTTTAGCAGAATGAAATCCAAATAGAAAAATTTATGATGGACATTGGTGATCAATGCTTTTGGGGTGAATTGGGAGTTTAGGGCTTTTTTCTAAGTGTAGGCATTTTTCACTTACATTTGATTTGTATCTTTTTAGCACTAGAACTGACAAGTGTAGCAATATTAGTGTCAGCTGATATAACTATAAACATCTGTGCTGTCACAAAAATTGTTTCAGACATTTATTGTTCTGATGATTATCAACCAAGTAAAGTGGACCTCACTTTTTTTAGACAGACAGAAAGACTCAGGCTAAGGCGTGAAAAATGACAAAAGACTACCTTGTAGCAACACGAAAGAGAAGATGCCTATTAGACTGTTAACCTCGCTTCAGCTCTATCTTTCTCATTTACAGTAGTAAGTTACAACCAGAATAAAAAATTTTTCTTATTCTTTCACTCTCAGTAACTCCTTGTGTCTTAGTAGCTTTATGGCTGAAAT